ATTTGTAAACTAGTTTGTAAACGCAAACCGAATTAATATATCCGGAAGGCATCGGAAACTCTATTACCATCTTATGCAGCGCAGTGGCCTTCATTTCTCTTCAATTCAAATAATATTTCAACTACTCGTAATTTTGAACTTTATTTAAATAAGTGTTAGTAAATATTAAGGTTTTTTAACGGCCTCCGTGTTCGAGTGGCCTGCGTGCTGGTTTCAAGGTGTCATCTTTTCTCAAGACCTGGGTTTTGAATTCTGTATCGGATATTGTGGTACCTTCAGTGTTTTAAATTAACATAACATTTTTCGTTAAGAATAACACAAGAACTTTATCTTCTAAACTGTGAATACCTATACAGGGTTATTTAAAAAACACAGCACACAGATAGCTATAACGTTATAAACAATAACATCCGATCTATGAGTTTTAACATATTAAATATCGAAAGCCATAAAACAAATATTTTTATTTATGATCTAGTCCTGCGACAAATTATGTCACATAATTGGTATTTTACAAGTAACCCTGTATATTGTTTATTTTACCTCTATTTGAGCATCTTTGGAGGTGAATTTAAGTGAACCCCAGGATTAATCCATCCAGTAAATCAGTCAGTCACCTTTACTCTTTATAGTTAAGTATACATATACTATGGACTGTTTAGAAAAGATCCTACGATAAAAAGAAAAAAAATTGAATATAGATTTCTAATAAAACACGAATCAATGACTTACATGGAATAGAAATCACGTTGGCTGATAGCGGCAACAACTTTCATAGCTAGAAGGTTTTGTCCAATAATAATTCATGTTTCCATTGACGTCAGCTATATTTTTTACTTAAGCGTCTAGACGCACCTCTTCATTGCAAAATAAACAAAATAGCGGTTTTATAGCACAGTTGGGCTTCCAAAATAAATATTCTAACTCGTTTTCATGTGCAATAAATTGAAATATGTATATTTTGTTTTGATATTGTACCTATATGTTCAAACCGGTAAAATTGACCTTTTAGTTAGCAGCTATAGATGTAATAGTATAGTAGGATATTTCTGGCCAATCATAAAAGGTCTTAAAGTTAAACAAAAGTTCATCCAGTTTAATTTACGGTACAAAAAAGACTATAATTACAGCTTGTTCTATTTTTTGGGTTATCCTCTGATCTAAAATTGACGATGACGCGATTTTGCCGCTGCCGGTGATATCATAAATCTGCCAAACAAGGTTCAACGCTTGTTATAAAAACTTTTACACGCTTTTCAACTTAATTTTGACCGAAACATTTTAAAAGACTATCAACTTTATCTTTTACTACAATAGAAATACGTAATCTATGTTTGACATGTATATTTCCTGTTTAGCATCATAATGAACAGTTTCTAACCAGATTTGGATTCAATTGTTAATGTAAATTAAGTATACTGTTTTTTCCCTTTATAAACTGTCGATTTGTCTGTTTGCTATGACAATTTGTTATCCAATATTCTCGGATATGCCAGGGCTGGCGCTGACGAGTGAATTGACAGCGCGTGTCAACAACAAATCGTGCGGCAGTTTGTTCAGTGTCAGGTAACTAGTGACCCAACTGTATTTAAAGTCTAGTGATGTAGGAGTTGAGGGATAGCTGGTGCTCACGGCATACCATTTTATTTATCGTGATAAAGGAAATTACTTTTAGGTTTATAAGCTGTTGAGATTTAAAGGTCTGTAGATTTCAATGTTTGCCCATCTGATTTCTATACTCGATCATGATGGGAAAGTATTTGATCGATTTTTATATGGATACTAGCTGTTTCCCCGCGACTTCGCACGTCTAAATTATAGCCTACGTCAACCCTGTACGATGTAGCTACCCGTAGGTGAAAGAATTTTTTAAATCGGGTCAATAGTTTTGGAGCATATTCGATGCAAACAAACACTCAAGTCTTTCCTTTTTTCAATATATTTATGATTATTGGTTTCATTTCAATCTTGTTATGTAAATACAAAAAACTTACCAAGTGCGAGTCGCACGCGCTCGCCATGAGTTCCGTACGAACAAAAATATCACGTTTGTTGTGTGAGAACCCCCTTAAATGTTTGTTTTATTTTAATTTGACTATTTATTTTTAAAATTACTATATAAATACATATTTAGTAAATATTTCAGACGTCTACCTGTTATCGTTATCAATATCGAGCAAAAACAAGTAAAAAAAAACACGTTTGTTGTATGAGAGCCCCCTTAAGTATTTATTTTATCCTGGTTTTTAGTAATTGTTGTTGAAGCAGCAACAGAAATACATACAAATTATAATATTCCATCTTATTGGAAAATCAAAATGTTCCTTTCGAATGTTTATCTTATCTCATACCAAGATTTTTTTGTATTAATCTGACCTCGCTAGCAGTAAATACGCGTATGCTTAGTGCCTGCCTGTTTTATTGAATAGGTACTATAGCTGTAGCAAATACTTTACCACTAACGTTCTGATATTTACTACACAACAAAAAGCTTTTCATATTCGTTAAGTAGTTATGTTATAAATATCCCTATCTCTATGAAAATTATTTTCAAACAAATATATATCATTCTATCATCATAAAAATTTATAGACTTTTATGACTCCGATGTCCGCTCTGTTGGTATTTAAATATTAACGATGCCCAAATTCGGAATAGCCCTATAAATATTTTGGTTTTCACAAAAATAAGTCATGTTTCAGATGACGCCTTGTCGTTATATATCGTTGTCAACTATTTTTATTTTTTTAAATATTTTTTTATGTCGGACGTAAACTAGTTTTTATGTGCGATTGTTCATAGAGCGTGTCACTGTCCAATGCTTTTGTTAGCCAACGCAGCTATCATATAAATTCTCCTATTTATTTTTATTATAACAGAGTACCGTTCAGTGAAATTGGAAAACAGAATACCTAGATAACTTACACAAAAACCGCGAATGTATTTTATAGCAAATATCGTAAATATGTTAAGTGTGTGATTTCCACAACCTTCTCATTTGTACGTGTCTTGGTTTCTCTTAGAAACAATGCAGTAAGCTCTTTCGGAATACGAAATAAAGTGCCTTATTTGTATTTTCGATGTCACCTCTGCAGAAAGTGGTTTGATTGGAAAATAGAGTAGAGCCAATGGAAACTTAGATTTCTCAAACTTTATAATTCTGAACATCACCAAATATTTTTTGTTAGCGTTGTATGAGCTAGAGTCACGTTAAAAACTCTACTTCCACTTAAAACTTATTACTTACCCATTTTATTACTTTACCACTCAAAGATGAAAGTTGTGTTTGATTGAAATGGGATATATTATGCATAGATAGTTAATTCATGATGTCAAACGGTCAATAACTGCGACGATTGTTTGACCGATGCCCATATACGCGGATTTCTCCGCAAATCGAAATCTGTTTTCTATATAACGCCTTTCACAATTATACAAACTTGTATGCAAACTACACTAAATAATCATGTTACTGTCATTCATATAAACGTATGTTTTAATAATACACACATAAAATAATATATTTATTGATTGGATGAAGTGCATCTGTATGTGGTAGGCATTTTAATTGGGATCTTGACCTCGAATGTTTATATTGACCAGCAGTAGTGGCTCTATTTGAGTATATACAGCTCATGCGCAGCTTTTCTAATGTTTAATTTATTGTCGGCTAGTAGCTGATAAAAATAAACTTGTGATTAATCACGGCTATTGCTCTTGCGCAGACGGCGAGTCTAGTCGCATCTCTACTATACATATAAACAGGTAAGACTTGAGGTTTCCACTATTAAACTAACATCAGTTATATCAAACTCTTTCCTCTATAAATTGTCATGACCTTCAATAAAATACTTGAACAGGAAAATATGAATCTTATTACACTCTAGTTCTACTAGAATTCCGCCAGCGGCTTCGCATGTATGGTTCACAAGATGACGTGATGGTTCTTTTATTTTTAGGGCAACATTTAGTAGGGTAAAAAATAGCCTATATGGGCTTAGAATTATCCATAAAGTAAATGTCATCAAAATCAGTTCAGTAATTTTGCGTAAAAAAGTTACAAACGTTCTATACAGAGTTTATTCTTTAATTATTGCGAACGATTTTATTAGTCTTTGTTTTATTTCGGAATGAGGTGCCTTTATTTTTTTTTCTCGGTCATTGTGCCAATTCGATAAGATATTGTTTTCAACATCTACGAATAGGTTGCGGATCTTGATTCATCGTGTCTTTCGTAATATTTTCGTTTATCGGAAAACAATCGAATGGCAAACAGAGCTATCATCGAGAGTTTCCAGTTTTATTCTCCAAGTAATCTTATCTAAATATCCCACATAAATATAATACTTGATGTTTAAATTACAGCTTGTTTAATAGGGCTGTTCTTGTCTGCTTTTATAATGGGTTATGTAATTAAGGTGTTTTGTCGTTCATTGATTTCGAAGCTCCGCAACTATATCTGGGAACGTTTATTTTTTATCATATAAATGATTGATTGCGTTATAAATAATCGCGGTAGGTAATTACTGAGGGACGCCATCATGGGAACAATTCATTGTGCCATTCTCCATTCAAAGAAGCTTTTTATCGCAATAACGTCTATATATTGTCTTGTGTGTCTCTTTTCACTACTAAATATTCCAAAGACATTTTATTAATGCTCTGAACAGGTTTGTGGTGAGAGGAATACCATGCCTAACATTGCAAACATACTGGTATTTTATGCATTGCTAGTTTTTATAAGTAAAAATCTATCTGATTATACAGTATGTATGTATGATATGAACTCAATATTATAAGTGAATGTAAAGTGTCAGAGTAAATAATTACCGGAACAATAGCAGTGTGGTCCTCAGAGATACCAGTTTGCCTTCGTCAGTCTGAGGACTGCTCGTACACAATGAGCATTTTCCTAACAATAGATGTGCATTGGCCCAATAAGTTCATTCTAGAAATGTTTCTGTTAGAATTAATATTCACTCTTTTATTTTTCATTGTTTCAGAACATGTGACATAAAGTGCACTATGGAAGAGGAAAGTGCAATTAATTTATCTGAAACCTGCACGAAATCGCAAGTCGATGAAGTTATTAAATCGCAAACTGATCAAAAAACATGTAGTGAAAGTGCAGAGCAATTTAGTGGGAAACAAATTGTAAACGGTGATAAGGATGATAATGGCGATGACAAGAACGAGAGTGGAGTAGTTCTTGAAGAGAATAATATAACTATAGAAGTTAAAGAATCTGTGGTCGAAAATGAAACATGTGAAGTTAACGACGACGCACGTTCACTTGGTGACCTAGACAGCTTGCCAGCAGGAGATGAATTAGCTTTGGGTGCTGCTGGAAGTGATAGTGGAGTAGAAGGATGTGGTCGTGCTCTGAGTAGCGGCGGAGGTTCTAGATCATGCGCTTCGAGTGTAGTATCATGTGGTTCTGGATGTGGCTCCGAAAGTTCTTCTTTAACGGGCGCTCCGCCGCGACCTCGGCGTCGTGTTAACGTTACCATGACTGAGCCCAAGAGAAACTCCCCCATCGGAACTTCTACTCCACGTCCAGTTACCGCTCCGCGAGGCCCTAACCTTGCCACTCGCGAAAGGGCAAGAAGTCGCGAAAAACCCATTCCGCCTGAAAAACCTAGACCTCTAACGCCTAAACCAAGAATCCGTCCGACGGCTGACTTGCCAAATCTAGTCCGTGAAAGCCCTGCATTACGTGCCAAACCAACGAAAACCTCCACAGCTAGATGTAGAACACCAAATTCGCCCAGCGAAGAAAAGAGATGGCCCGCAAACGGACCACGATTGACACCAGTCTCCGATGCCAATGCAACTCGTGTTGCTGCTGATAAATATGGAACATTACCACGGAGAAGAAGGGATGCAGAAACTGATGCATCACCTAAACACGAGAGTACACCACCGTCATCCAGGAGGCCTACGATCACACGATCGGTTTCGTCGAGATCGACGACGAAAACTCGTGTAAGAATATACGCTGAAAAAACTTCACAAACTGTGTTACTGGGATCTGATGTTGAGTCAGCTCTAGCTGGAGTTATACCTAATATTGATAAGTAAGTTTGGCAGATATTATTTCTTTAAAGCGCTGCGAGACGTAGACAATTTGCATGTCCAAACATTCATATGACATGTAGTAATTTGTTAATAATAAAAAATGTGTCAATTAAACATTATGCAACATTATAAAATTCGTAACGGCAAAATAATATTTATTAATAGTTATACATCGTGAAACTGACAGAAAACTACCAACGAATGTTTGCCAGTGTTCAGAAGTAGCATATTGAGAATGTATCCCCGTTTACTAGTTTTGGACACAGCGACTAGGTTTCCTGTGATGGTATCGTTTACAAAAAGTCTTCGTTTACGCAGTGTCTAAAAGATTTTGAGTTGATAATCTATTTAGGAAATCAAAGATTAAAGAATCTTGTGTTACTCAGTCGTGTCGAGGTGACTCGATGCCATCGCGGTGTGCAGGCAAGCGCCCGAGATGTTGAAATGGCTCGATTGACTGCGGCGGCAGCAACGGCAGAAGCGGCGGCAGCAGAGGAACGGGAGCGAAGGCTCCAAGTGGAAAGCCTGTTGGCAGTGGAACGAGCCGCTCGGCTCGCTGCCATCGCTGAACTTGAAAGAAACTCTCAACGGCTATTAGAACTTGCGGGCGCTAGTAAGATACCATTTTTCTTTTATAAAAAATATTATTCGTAATTATATACTTCAAAAATTTTAATATTATTGAACCATAATGACCCCAAAATTTTTTTTTAGAGCTGGTGGTAACAATTCTTTTGTATAAACTAGACTATATTTAGATTTGATTTGATTTCAAAATATACTTTATAGTATATATTCTTGGTAAACTTATATATCTTTGATTAGACTACAGAATAGAGTCCTAAATTAAAATCATTACTTTTTAATTTAGTTCTCAGAACTTAATTTTACAAAAGTACCAATATCTTACGTGACTTTTTAATCAGATTGGTTTCACATCATAAATTATTTACAATTGCTCACGTACGTCAAGTATACATGCTTGAAGTTTAATCCAATTTCTTTTAATTTTTATGAGCAGGTGCAGACGCAGGTGCAGAGAACTGTCTACGAGCTTTAGAGGAGCAATTACGGTCGGCGGGCGAGTTGGCAGCGCGACAACGGGCCGAGATCGACTCGTTGCGAGAGCAGTGCTCCAAACTACAAGTAGTTAGTATCTTTTCATCTAAGCAAACCGTCCAAGTGACTATTCAAGCCAAATAAGAATAGGACTGTCAAACAATCTCTTGGTTCGTATTGCGCTTCAACATCAGGATGTAAGGTGTGCAAAAAAATAACAAATTATTTTTTTTATAATTCAACGCATTTTCGTAGTGACATAATGTGAATGTATAAACATTATTATTATTATAAAATATACAATAAATCCAATAATACAAATATGTGGCTGTAATTAAACAAACTTTTAAAATATTCAGAGAACTTTATTTTTTTTTACTGTCAGTACAGACATGATAGCTAAGCCATGATGTTGGCAGCTAACCCGAGCCTATTCTTATTTTCCTCGGATAGTACGTAGTTTCAACTATTTTACATAAACACTTACATTATTTATAATTAGCTCAATGAGTTGTGAAGTAATTGTTATTATTTCGTTTGTGTTAGGAGTCATGTGGTGCTAGGGAAACGGCGAGGTCTTTGGAGGCGCGGCTAACAGAAGCAGAGCGCGAGGCGGCCGAGATGCAAGATTTCCTAGCGGCTGAGACCGCTGCCCTAGGGGACTCGTTACGAGATGCTGAACAAGAAGTGGTCCGACTCAACGCTGAACTCGAGAAGAGGTATGTCACCAATAAAGTAATGGCTGTACCTGTTTTGAAGAACATAAAAAGAAAAAGAGATCGCACTGATTTGTGTTTATGTTGGTTATTAAAAAGAAAGCAGTTTTCTCATGCAAATTTAATAAAGTAATTGAGATTAACACCAAAAGAAAACAAACACGTGAAAAAAAAAACTTTATTTGAAACTGTTATCATTTCTTATGAGGAAGTATAAAAAAAACAATAGTTCCCGAAATCAAACTAGATGTCGCTACGGTACGTTCTTGATTTCTCCATGACAACCTTTCCTGTTTTCTTTCAAGTTTAAAAGGAAATTCGTATTCAAAACTCAATAAACAACTCATATTCTATTTGTACTTTTTTGTGATGTCTAAGTTTTGAACTTTTCAAATTTCAGTTTTTCAATGTTACTTTAAAGGAATGGAAATGACGTGTCTTTGATCCGTTTGTTTCCTACAAAAAACAACTTTTGCTAGAGTCGCCATTTAGTAAAAGTGCTTTTTTAGTGCTTTCTTTTTTTTTTAATACTTTCTGACAATTGAAAACCTGAGAACTGTGTACGCAAACTCGGCGAACGACATACGCTCGATTATGCTCGCGCGCAATTATAACCGAGTGGCATAAAATATCAATTTTGATATTCACCTGTTTGCATATACGTGCTTTGAAACTCGTAATTTTATCACATACACGCCAGGGTTTGTTACCCTAACGTGGTTGCATATGCGTGCACTGAAAATTGTAATATTATCACATACACGCTAGGGTTTGTTACCCTTTTTTTTTTTAACGCAGGGGAAATGCTCCTTAAGCCTTAAACCAGGGCTCCTCCTCCACCCCCGTCCTGAAAAGGACAGGCCGCCCTAAGAAGGGCAGTAAGTGAAGGCCCTACCTGGTAAAACCCGCTGCGGTTCACCTCACGCGTATGGATGAGTCTGGTATCCAGCAAGGAGGGCCCAGACTCAATCCGCGCTGGGACTCCTCTCCAGGGGGTAGAGAGAAGTCGCCCTCTGCGGGATGGGAAAGGCTCGGGTGAATAACAACCTTTCCCAGACGGTGGACCGTCCCGACGAAGCTAGCCTCGCCAGGGTGCAGGGTGGGGTGTCAGCCCTCGTCCCGCCGATCCACAGAACGATGGGATGCGTTAATACGCGATCCCAACCCCCCTTGCCGTCTTTGGGTTTGTTACCCTAACGTGTATGGTCTCAATAAGCGAGTGTGTGTGCGCGGTGTTGTGCAGACGCGCGGAGTGCCGTCAGCTAGTGCGCATGTGCGAGCAGCGCCGGCAGGAGGCGCTGGCGGCGGCGGCGCGCGCGCGCTCCGGCGGCGGCGCGGCGCACGCGCTGGACGCCCTGTCGCGCCGCCTGCGCGCGCTCACGCACGCCGTGCGCGCCGCCTACGCACTGCCACGCGACGCCCTCCACCCGCCCGTCTACCACAACGACGTGTACAGGTATAACATTTCACTAACCTAGAACAAGGCATAGCTTAACTAGGAATCGCCTAAGATTTGTTCGGTGCAATGCAACCGAACGGCGTGGTTAGCGTTTTTGCTTTTTAGGTCATTAGCGACGTCGATAATTCAGTACAAAGTCGCGGAACCGCGGCACGCGACTAATAATTTTATCGTTGTTATTATCGACATCATTATAATTTTAATTAGTACATTTTACTGTAAACGGACACGAGTGTTTTATTTATATCATTATCAAATTAAAATAATCATGTTCGGTGCAATGTTTAATTTTATCCCTTGACATATTTATGACCTGTCATATACTCAAATGCCAAGCGCAAGGCGCTGCATTACGAATATCATAACTTTAGACATCGATTATTTTGTTAGGTGGTTCCTAGTCATTGGTAAAATGCTTAGGCGATTCCTATTGTATCCTATTTGTATCTAATATCCTACTCCTAATTTTCAATGCCCTTTAGTTTTCGGCACTAATATGCCTTAAAAATGCAGAAACGGACATGAAGTGGAACTAAGGATAAAAATTTGTTATGTTCCACAAATTTAAATTCTTTAGAAAAAATTAACAGCAGCTCCACAAACGCATTCGCATTCCATTCGCATAAACATTAGTAACTGAATAGGTGATACAACAGTATTTATTATCAATAAAACCTTTGTACTATTAAAAATGGGTATTATGCCGATACCTTTCTTATATACATATTATATATCATCTGAATCTTAGAAACGAAAGATTATAAGATATTTCTCAAGCTCTCTCCTGAGTCGAGAGAGGTAGACCAAAAATTCCCAAACCAATTTAAGCAAGATACTTGTTATCCAAAATGAACTGGTACTTCGACTCCCTATATCTAAATTACATTAAAATGTGAGCTCTTATTTAAAGATTTCTAAATCTGAATTCAGTTTCCGCTCATGTCGATCCACAACTAACATATTTCAGCCGTCCGAAGGAGTCTATATAGACTGCTAAAGGAATCCCGTTGTAACAATGCGTTGTACCACCGTTTATTTCGTATCCGCATGCAAACTTGTTGTCTTTGATCTTCAACATAATTTTTGTTATTACTCACTTTTCGTAATTTGAAAATTTGTGTAATCCAAAATGCTCTATATGAATGTCATTTCGTGAATACTCGTCGAGTTAGAAACATTATACAAAAAAACTTAATTTCAATCAAAAACAATTTGTTGTAACTGTTCAAATCAAATATATTTAAGTTAGTTACTCACGAAATCCAAAGAAAAGGGAGTTTTTGTTTACCATTTATTAAATCAAGTTCTCAAGCTTAGTCAGCCTTTTATTCATTTGTATTAAGTATCGACCCAGCCACATTGGAAGTTAGTTCCACCTTCCTTCCTCGAGTCAATAAGTAAATTGTCGAATCGTCAACAGCCGCAGTGACAGCGGCGAGGCGTTATCACCGGAGGAGGAGGCTCGCGGCCTCCTGGCGGCGGTGACGCGCGCCCTGCGCACTGCGCAGCCGCCGCCCCAACACACTCAACAGCAGGACGACGATCGGTCGCGGATATCAGACGACAACGATAACTCCGCTGATCTGCTAGACTCCGAAACGGAACCGTGTCTGGTCACCGATCCTGGTCAGTTGGTATCATTATATATATTTGTTTTCAGCTTTTGTACTTATTATAACTTATCAAGAGGATTCTAAAATTTCCAACGCCGGCTTTTACCGGCGTATTATGGATATTCGACCAATGAAGCCACGTAAATTGTCCCCGAACTTTGCATGTTTATAAATTTTTGTTTATTGAAGACCATATTAACAGAATGAACTATAGACTCTGCCGGGGACAGCCTCATTTTAGAGTAAGAAGGATTTCATATAATAATAAAATAAGTAATCTGGCAATTTAGTAATTTTCTAATTCATATAGGGTAAACCAGAGAGTAATTGCCCACAGGCAGTGATTGCCCGTTTTTAGAAAAAAAATCTGAATCAAAGGTTGTGCTCTCACTTGTTTCGAATATAATTTACTAGATGATTCTATGGTCAATTTATAGTAGATTTTAAAATTGACAAGTAGCAACACTAAAGAAAAATAACAGTAATGGCGGATTTTGTCAAGACGGGTGAACGTGTTACTCAAACAGGTAAGCATTTTAGCAATTTTCTTAAGGAATTACTTGCTTTGAGGTTAATTTTTTTTGCATTTTATTTGATATTTCATTATTGTTGTATGGTTATGACGAAATCATAAGTGTTATGTTTTGTTTTTAATTAAAATATTTGAAATCAGATTAGATTCAACGGTTTTTAAACGGTGGGCAATTGCTGTACGTATTTCGGCATATTTTTAGTTATTGCCCACCATAATTTTAGTTATTGCCATGGTTAATATCTATAGTTATTGCCCAGGGCAATCATTATCGGTAATTTTTTGATTAAGTAAGTAATGTTACCGTCACATTTATTAGCTTAATGGCTTGCACACGCGCAATAATATTATCAATATTTTTTTCACTATGTAATATTGTCAATATTTTTGCCACACACACGCAATTATATTGACAAAAAGCAGCATTACATATGAAGCAAAAAGAAAAAGAAAATCTGTTGAAAGTAAAAGAAGAGAAAAGGTTGATCAAAGAAAAGAAAAAGACTGAAAATGCAAACAAAAAGTCAAAAAAAAAGTTAGTGAGACTGTTAAATCTAAGGAAATAGATAAGAGTTTAGAGGATAATAGCCAACAACTGATTGAACCTTTTGAGCAACAACTCGAACCGACACCAAAGAAGATAGAAAAAGAAATAGGCATAAAAAGTAAAGAAATGTCAGCAAATAAAAAGATAACTATTCTAAGTAATCTTTTAATACAACCTTCTTGTAGTAACATTCTGCCAAAGCCTACTTGTGGAGTTTGTCATTTCAACGTGATAAAAAATGAATTGACATGCAGTGCCTGTTCAAAAATCTTTCATGTGCGTTGCATCCCACCAAAACATAAAGAACATACATATACCAGACTACTCCGATTTACATTTATTTTTGTGTCATCGTTGTTTTGAAGTAGATGATTCTAATTGTGATGATTCTGACTCATCAACATCAGCGAAAGATATGTTTGATATGGTTAATAAAGCCAAACGCAATTTATTTTAAGATATTGTAGTAGATTTCAGTTTAACGTTTTGTTTTGATTGTTTTATTAAAGTTCAAAGTCTAATTTATCATTTTAAGGTACTGGGCAATTACTATGCTGTGATGTGGGCAATTAGTGTAAGCAATGGGCAATAACTGTACATTTTTAGATAATTTTAAATTTGTTTAAATATTTTCTAAGCCATCTAAGTTTTGACTAAAAACCGTTAACACTTTGATGGAGATTTTATTTAGATATAAGAAAAAAATAATAAATGGTTGAAAGTTATAATACTTTTTTTATTGTTTGCAGCCAAAGTGTTTGAAGTCCTTAAGTGGGCAATAGCTATACGGTTTACCCTATTTGAAAACAATAGTTCTTTAAATCTTAAACCAAACGAAAATTCATCAACATTTGGTCCGGTTAATACTGTCTGAAATGTGACGTTGGTATTTTGCCTTTAAAACCATAGTCGCCTAAATCCACGAATTTGCTTCTGCGCGCTCATTGCGTTATGTTAAAATATGTCAATTTATGACAATTTTATTTGTAATAATAAATTTGCTTATTAATAGGGTAGTTTCGGTAGTGAAAAATAAGTCACGGAAATGCACAAAAACTAAAATTTACATTGTAATAAATAAAGAGATTCTGATTTTGAGTCTTAAAAAAAAAACGATTATCATCTTAAAATTGAAAGTCGTGATTTTTTGTATGTGTGTCACATAACTTGAAACACCACCCGCCATTGTATGACGCCACTGTGGCGACAGCTGTCAGATTAGTCATAAATATATTCCTATTCATTATCGAATTCCTAGATGGCGCTGTTCTTAGCTCAATTATATCTTTTTATTTCGAAATCGATCGTTAGATGGCATTTTTCTATTTTTATTTACATCCCTTTATTTAACTCTTTGTATCTGTTTTGAGCATAGAGTTAAGGTTTTGTGTATATATCACAATGGCGTCATGAATATGGCGGACAGCGTTTTCGCGGGAATAAAATAATGTTTAAATTTTGATTTAATTTTAAGGCAATAAAACGTATTTATTTCTCCGGAATATTTGTTTTATGGCTTTTTTTTAATTAAAATAAACAGTTACAAGTATTATTTCAAACAGAGTAGAATTCCCATATAGTGCATTTTGTCCATTTTTGTAAAATATATTATAGAGCAAATTCACAAATTTGTTATTCAATTTAAATACTAAGTATGTTTTTAATTTGTATTGTGTTTAGATTGCGCAGAGGAGTGGTGGTCAGGAGCTGAAGGCGCTGGCGTCTGGAGCGGCGACGAACTGTCACCAGAACAGGAATCCGTCGGAGAAGATAAAGGTACTATTGATCTAGATCAGTTTTATCGGTATTTAAGACTGCGGCACTGAAACATAAGATATTACGATATTATATTAGATAAAATTTAATTAAACAGCTCCTGTGCGCTGAAGCAATATTTCTTGATTCATTTGATTATAACATCGATATTCGATTATTTTTTTAGTAGCGGTAGTTTATTTCTAGACGTCGAGATCCTTTTTTTATCAAAAAAAAAGTCATTTGAATTTATTAATTTATTATATCAACTTTAATTTGAATCAAATCGACATTCAATTTGAATAATTACTAATATCACAATTGGTTACTTTAACATTGGTTCTGTCATTAGACTCCAGTGTTCGTTGAACGTCGTCAATGAAGTCGATCATAAATATTGGATTTTGTATTGGCACTGGAGACGATTTTTAATACTAGAAAACTGGTACGAGGGTCAAACTGAAAGTTCTTAGAAAATCAAAAACTGATTACATTAGCCAGTTATTAGTTTTATTATATCTTTTCAAAATATTGTCCATTCACGTCAATACACCGCTGCATGCGATGGAACCACTGGGAAAAGCACTTTGCCCACTCGTCCTTAGGGGTCTCTTCAATGGCATCGCGATACGCAGCCACCGCTTCTTCAGCATTCATAAACCGCTTTCCTTTAAGTTTTTCTTTAATTTTTGGAAATAAATAAAAATCACAAGGCGCGAGGTCGGGGCTATACGGCGGGTGACCCAGTAATTCAACGTTTGATGTCGCCAAATAGTCGATCGTTCGCTTGGCGGTGTGCGACGAGGCGTTGTCGTGGTGAAGGAGGATCCTACTGCGAGGTCGTTTCTCTCGAACTTTTTCCAAGACAAGTGGCAAACAATTGGTAGTGTACCATTCTGCAGAAACTGTTTTTTGATCCTCTAACACAATTGTTGCAAAATGACCTATCCTTCCAAAGAACGAGGCCACCATTTTTTTTCCCGCACTTCGATCTCTCTTCACTTTAGTTGGCAACTCCTCGAAAGGAAACACCCACTGAGCAGATTGTCTTTTGGTTTTAGGATCATAACAGTAAATCCAGCTTTCGTCACCTGTTAGTATGTCGAACACAGCATTTGAGTCACCTCCGTTAAATCTTTCAATCATTTTACGACACCAATCCACACGATGGAGTTTTTGAGCCTCAGTCAAATTATGAGGTATCCACCGGGCGCAAAGCTTCCTGACCGCTAAATGTTCGTGGAGGATTTTGTGCACTTGACTCATACCGATGCCTAAGCTTGTCCGAATCTGTTGATAGGTCACTCTTTTGTCAGTCTCTATCATACGCCGCACAACACAGATGTTATCTTCAGTCGTCGCCGTAGAAGGCCGTCCCTCACGTAAATCATCAGTGAGATTAGTGCGACCACGTTTAAACTCATTAAACCAGTTGTAAACAGTCGCACGAGATGGGGCTTCATCGTGAAAGGCCAATCGTAGTCTATCATAACTTTCTTGTTGACTTAAATGACATCGAAAGTCATAAAAAATCATTGCACGAAAATTTTCTCGTGTTAAATTCATGATGACGTGACACAGACAATTTTCAATTTGCCGCCAAATCGTAAAACAAATGACAAATGAATGAAATATATACTCAGTAATATTGGCAAAGAGTTATATTTTCAAATTTTAGAATTATTTTTTTATTATATTGTTTATAAGTGGCCAGTTCTAAGAACTTTCAGTTTGACCCTCGTATATCGCTACTTAATTCAAGGGACTATTCATTTACTGCAATGAAATTTTGGATGAGAATAAAAAGAATCTAAACTAGAGGTAATATTCTTCGTCTGCAGATGCAGAGTCAGCGTCGGCATCCGAGAGGGAATCGTTACGCAATTTATCAGCGGCGATCGCGCAGCGGCAGAGGTCAGAGGCGGAGGACTTCGAGCGTGGGTCACTCGTGGAACGAGTCGTGGCGCTCGACGCGAGACTCGCGGACCTCACGCGAGCCCTCCACGCCGCCGCACGCACCACCGACGCGCCCGGCGTCCGGCTGGCCACCGCGCTCAGGTACAATACTGACCTCACACTGGCCACCGCGCTCAGGTACAATACTGACCTCACACTGGCCACCGCGCTCAGGTACAATACTGACCTCACACTGGCCACCGCGCTCAGGTACAATACTGACCTCACACTGGCCACCGCGCTCAGGTACAATACTGACCTCACACTGGCCACCGCGCTCAGGTACACTACTGACCTCACACTGGCCACCGCGCTCAGGTACACTACTGACCTCACACTGGCCACCGCGCTCAGGTACAATACTGACCTCACACTGGCCACCGCGCTCAGGTACACTACTGACCTCACACTGGCCACCGCGCTCAGGTACACTGCTGACCTCACACTGGCCACCGCGCTCAGGTACAATACTGACCTCACACTGGCCACCGCGCTCAGGTACACTACTGACCTCACACTGACCACCGCGCTCAGGTACACTACTGACCTCACACTGGCCACCGCGCTCAGGTACACTACTGACCTCACACTGGCCACCGCGCTCAGGTACAATACTGACCTCACACTGGCCACCGCGCTCAGGTACAATACTGACCTCACACTGGCCACCGCGCTCAGGTACACTACTGACCTCACACTGGCCACCGCGCTCAGGTACACTGCTGACCTCACACTGGCCACCGCGCTCAGGTACAATACTGACCTCACACTGGCCACCGCGCTCAGGTACACTACTGACCTCACACTGGCCACCGCGCTCAGGTACACTACTGACCTCACACTGGCCACCGCGCTCAGGTACACTACTGACCTCACACTGGCCACCGCGCTCAGGTACAATACTGACCTCACACTGGCCACCGCGCTCAGGTACAATACTGACCTCACACTGGCCACCGCGCTCAGGTACACTACTGACCTCACACTGGCCACCGCGCTCAGGTACACTACTGACCTCACACTGGCCACCGCGCTCAGGTACACTACTGACCTCACACTGGCCACCGCGCTCAGGTACACTACTGACCTTACACTGGCCACCGCGCTCAGGTACATTTTCGTCATATCCGCTCTAACAAGTAGCATGGCGTTTGATTAATTTGGAATTACCGTTTTTTTTTTTTTAATAATTAATGACAAAACGAAATAGAAAAATATTCACATAGACTTTATTGTAAAGCAATAATGAGCGTAATAAAATATATTTAACGCTTTTTTAATCAGACGCATATTCCCTATTCAGAATGCATACAATAAATTAACATACTAAACTGAATTAGAGACCCACCAAACCTTAATTCATCTATTTACAATTTCTAGAGACAAGATAGACGTGACAGAGAAGAACGTCGCTGATGTAGTTGTAAAGAAACTGGCTGAACTTGACGCCAGCAAGAACATGATGGAACAGTACCGGCAATCTGTAGAGGTGAGCACTCTGTCTTATTTGTAAAAAGTCTTTAAACTTTATGTTCGATGAATCTAAATAGAATTTTCACAGTTGCTTTAAATTAGAAATTAAATAATTTGCCTATTCCACATACTCATAAATTATATTTATTAATTATGAGTATATGGAACCTATTCTCAACAATATAAAAGCAACAAAGGAATTTTTAAATATGATTCCTTTCATACTACATGTTTTATTGAGTAAAATAAATGGCGATTTTGGAAAACTATATAACGTAGTACAGTTTTGTTAGTGCCGTTAACTGATTTAATGTGAAACAGGTATTTACACAATTCAGGCCCTGCTTGGCGATCTCGAGTCAAGAATAAAGTGTTCAGGTTAATAGAAATTTGTTGTCGCCTTATCACAGCTTCTAGGTGCACTAGGCCTTGTGTTCTCTCTTTATTTATCACTTAATATACCATTATAAACCTTATGTACCTTTAATAAGAGATATAATACTGTCGATTTTGTAACTTAAACCTAATGAGATTCCTCTTTCCTTTTTAATAACAGTTGAGTAAATATTGTGGTTTAGAGTGGCATGCAAAATTATGTGCGATGTTATGAATATAACTAAAGTTGTAGTTTAGTATTTTACGTAGCCTCTTGACCTACATTTATAATTTCTAATTATGAAGATACGCTTTTAACTATTATCTCGATTGCTTACTAACTTCAATATATTTAATCAAATAGTTTTATTCGGAGAGAACACTAGGTCCGTCCAAACTGAAATTTGTAAAATTAAGCGCGGCATTCGCACGACTGTATATATAGTCACTGTCAATTCTGTACATACAAATGATTATTGGCACAAAAAAACATTAAAAACATAGTTGATGAATCGTTTGCTAAATATGCTTTTTTTTTCAACCATACTTTCTAATTTGGTAGTGTGTAGTAAGTTAGGTATGAGATGGATCTTGATCGATTTATAATTTTAGGTGCTCAAAAAGCAGCTAGCACAAACAGGTGAAGAGGATGATTTGGAGTTTATTGAGGAGGTAATTTTTTTATTGTTGTTTACATTATTAACAACTGTTTGTCAATTGTGTAGGGAATTTGTGATTTATTAGAATATTTTTAAGGTATACAAGTCTCGTACCTTTCTAACTTTACACCTGTGTAACCTTTTTATTTACTGGCTTTATCGTCATTATCCTTAGGATAGAATGGATGGGTGGAATCTAAACGAGAATTGTTAAGTTATTAGTAGCTCTAGACTCTTCAAGTCTGAATTCGACATTTGAATATACACGAAATGTTACTTGAGTCAACTTATGCATGTGGAATGTTAATTACTTCAGATGCAACTGGAATTGACGATATAAAATATCTTCAGACTGCATGCATCGGCTCATAAATCTGTTCTCCTGTTAAAGCTGACCGCAAATCAGTCCGATCTACCAAAGAAACAGATTTTATTTAAACCTCACAAGTGCCATGCCACCTGTCATTCGCAGGTGACATTAGAATGAAGAATGTTAACAATTTTTTTTTATTAGCACTCCATATTCTCTTTCAAAAATAAAAAATACTACTGAAAGAATTACTTCGATACGACAATTAGTTTCCGATTTAGAAGTAAAACAAGTTGTAACCGCACGACGCGGGCTGCCGGTGACGGTGTGACGTCATTGCACAACACGCTCAGTCTGGCTCACTTAGTCCGCTCGCAATAGCGCGCCTGTGCCGTCGAAATTTTACCTAAATACTTTTAAAAATGTCCAATCTAAATACTAGGAAATCATGTGTTGTGCCTAAATGTAAAAATACAACTACTAATTCGTCGGGAAAGTTGTTTTTTATAGACATCTTTATGATAAATAGACAACAATCTTTTCAACCTCTTTTTTTTTTCACATATAAAATGTGAAAGAGAACACTGTATTTAATATATATAACACTTGGTAGCAGTCGTTGAAGGCACTTCGCTTCGACGATGTAGCCATATTAAAAATGCTACAGTATGTTAACAACCACCTCTGCTGGCGGCACAATCTTCGCAGGTTACATTTAATACTTCTTGATCCTTTTCATTGCATTCTAAACTGCAATGATAAGGTGTGGTACGTACGCGGTGTTCTGGCGTGATTCTACATTTAACCGTACATACATCACCTACTCTTTTAACTTGAACAGAACCAACAGCATCATTGCCATAGCTGTTTCTTGCTGATCTGAAATAAGTTTCAAATAAAAATAAATAGCCTTAAGTATTTTATTAGTAAAAAAATACTAATAAATAAATAAGGTTTAGTATATCTGTTCAAACTTCTATATTTGCAACAAAAAAATAATTTAATAAAATGGCCTTAAGTATTTTGTTAGTAAAAAAATACAAATAAAAAAAGGTTTAGAACATCTGTAACGTTTAACCCACTACATCTACATCCTAGGTACCTATCCTACTTCCTACTTCCCATACTGTGACTACGACGGCGACATCGATTATACCTAAACAAAAGATATTTATACTTGGTGACGAAGGGGCAGTGGGTTTATCTTGTAAAATATTAGAGACAAGGAAAAACAAATGGAATGATAATTATAAACCATTTGGACTTGTTAGACCTAATGCTTATTCGTCGGAAACTCTTAAAGATTGCTATACGATTAAAAATAATTTATCTATGAATGATTTTGTAGTTGTTTGCACAGGAAACCATGACTCTAATCCGTATAATTTATTTTCAAATATATGTAAAATAATGCACGAGTTACGTCACACAAATGTAATAATATTACCAATTATAAATAATAGACATCTAAATGTAAAAAGAATTAATAATAATTTGAAGCTTTTGTGTAATTCACAAGCAAATTGTATAATGTTGGACTTAAGTGAAATATGTTTAAATCATTCCCAATTTTTAGAATTTATTTCCATTAAAATCAATGTAGCTATAGATTACCCTGTTTATGAGGCATGTTTTTTGAAACAAAAATTACAAGTCACTATAATGCAATATAAAAAATCTATTAAAGTGTATAATGAGCACCCAGTGAAGAAAGGAACGATTCCCTATTATTTTGCGCGAATGCAAAAACCAAAATATATTGAGTCATGCCAATGCCAAGTCATAGACAAGAGAGATATGTCTAGTAATTCGAGCCAGTCAAACGAGGATTTTTTTCGTGAATAAAGATCGTGATAAGGTACTGATTATTTTTCATCAAAACATTGCAGGTATACTGAATAAATTAGATAATTTGGAGATAGTAATACACGACTTCCAAAATAGAGGAAAGGATATCAACGTAATTTGTATAACAGAAACTTTTCTAAATCGAACAGATATCAAAAATATACGATTGTCAAATTTTAAACTAGCTGCTTTTTATTGTAGGCCGCGAAAAAAGAGAGGGGGAACATGCATATTGCTAAAAAACTATATAATATTCAATATATTAAAACTAACTGAAGACTATGCAACTACTCTACATTTTGAGTGCTGTGGTATTGAAATAAAATGCAAGAATTTAGTTATACTATGTATCTATCGCACACCGAAATCGGACCTTAATATTTTCTTTGATAAATTTGAAGCATTATTATCGAGATTATGGTCCAGGGGAGCGAGAAAAATAATTATTGCAGGGGATTTAAATATTAATACGTTAAATGTAAATACACATTCAAATAAATTAAGAAATTTATTACTTACCTACAACTTAAAATTACATATAAATGAACCAACCAGAATTGATAGTTGTATTGATCATATAATTAGTAATGTAAGGAGTGCTAAAGGCTTTGTACATAAATTAGGTCTGTCAGATCATAGTGGACAAACAGCTGAATTTAAACTCCAAATTAAGGAAGTCATATCAATATGGTCTGAAAAAAAAAGGGATTTTAGTATAGACAACATACATAAGTTTCAGAGTTGTCTTGCATCCCTATCATATTCTGATATTTATGTAGAAACCAATACCAACAAGGCTTTTAATGAATTTCATTCTTTGCTACGAATGTTCTATGATTTATGCTTCCCTAAACTTGAAATAAAAATAAGAAACAAAATAAACAAAGCTAAATGGATTACGAAAGGCATTAAAAGATGTTGTAAAGAAAAAAGGCGATTATATTTTATATATCAGAAATCTAATAAAAGTGATAAAAAGTTAAATAATCAAAAATATAAAGTTTACTCCAGGCTACTTAGGCGGTGTATGTTATGCGTGCAAAAGCAAGGAAATAAAAAGTATATAATGGATTCCAAAAATAAGACAAAAGCTGCCTGGAATATTATAACGACACACATCTCTGATCCCACTACCGCCATGGAGTTGAACGAAATCAAATATAATGGGCTATCTTATCTTAAACCGATTGACGTAGCAAATACTATGAATAATTTTTTTATTGAATCAATACAAGCTACCTCCAAAGGGACATGTCCTAATAGAAATAGTTATAGTAACTGCCAATCTAGCCTTTTTTTGCAACCTACAACTCCAGATGAAATATGTAAAATAATAAAAGCCTTAAAAAATTGCTCATCAGTTGGATACGATGAATTATCGACAAAGGTCATAAAAACAATAGCAATTTTAATAGCCCCAATATTAAGCCATTTAATAAATTTGTCTATTAGTGAAGGTGTATTTCCAGATGCGCTAAAATTGTCTATCGTAAGGCCACTCTATAAAAAAGGAGATAAAAAAGACCCGAGTAATTACAGACCTATTACCCTTCTACCAATACTTTCAAAGATATTTGAAAAGGCTATATACACAAGACTCTGCAATTTTATGGAGAAATTTAATATTCTTAGACCAGAACAGAATGGATTTAGAAAAAATCATAATACGACTTTAGCGAACTTTACTTTAATTAATGCGGTAATGGAGTGTCTTAATGATAAAATACCAGTAGCTGCTCTATATTTTGATATGAGCCAGGCATTCGATTTTGTAGATCATGATAAACTCATTACAAAGTTACAAAATTATGGTATCAGAGGCACAGCAAAAGACTGGTTTTTGAGTTATTTGAAAAATCGAAGACAGTGTGTGGAAATCGGTAGAATGGAAAAAAAAAAACAAGCTTTATAGGAGAGCTATGTACAGATCGAACTACAGGGTGAACCAATATGGTGTTCCACAAGGAAGTATTTTGGGACCAATTTTGTTTACACTCTACATCAATGATTTGCCCATTGTAACTAACCACACGTCTATACTTTTTGCTGATGACACTACTCTGATTATAAAGGCTAAAAAAGAAGAACACTTAGAATATGAAATAAATATAGTTATAAAACAGATAATTCAATGGCTGAAGGATAATAATTTAAAAGTTAATATCAAGAAAACAAAAATAATGTTTTTTCGTACGTATCAGTCTCCAAAACTTAATTTTGAAATATGTTACGAAGGACAAATTATTGAAAAAGTTGAAGAAACAAACTTTTTAGGTATATTAATTGACGAAAACTGTAATTGGAAATCTCATATAAGTCGCGTATGTGAAAAACTCAGCAGATTTGTATTTGCTTTACGTAGGCTGAGAGAAACGGTCTCTACGGGTGCTGCTTTGACGGCATACCATGCCTACGTCGGATCTGTTCTCCAATATGGCTTGATTATATGGGGAAACAGTACAGATATTGACTTAGCTTTTAAGATACAAAAAAAATGTAATATTTTTAAACTCACACGATTTGTATACATTATAATTATATGCAATCGGGTCTTGTTCGTGCATTTTTTTTAAAACAATTAATTTACCTCGACGTTTCGGCTACGTTACAGCAGCCGTGGTCACGAGGAGACTGGAGAACTGGCGGGTGTCGTCTTCTGATTTTAGTTGAGGGTAATCCGGTAATAATGTTTTTAACTGATTTTCAGATGTACCCTCCACTTGATTTTATTATACGTAAAGGTGGCGACACACCGATACCGTAAGTGCAGTGTGTCGCCACCTTTACGTATAATAAAATCAAGTGGAGGGTACATCTGAAAATCAGTTAAAAACATTATTACCGGATTACCCTCAACTAAAATCAGAAGACGACACCCGCCAGTTCTCCAGTCTCCTCGTGACCACGGCTGCTGTAACGTAGCCGAAACGTCGAGGTAAATTAATTGTTTTAAAAAAAATGCACGAACAAGACCCGATTGCATATAATTATAAAACAAAAAAAATGTGTTAGGGCAATTAGTGGTGCCCATTATACCGATTCCTGTAGACCATTATTTAAAAAATTTAAACTACTTACGCTAACTGGACTTTATATCAAGCAAATTTGTATATTTGTTAAAAAACACTCTCACTTCTTCCCTACTAAACAATCAATCTCAGGTAAATCACAACGAAAACGACGTACAAATTTACTAGAAATTCCTAAATGTAGATTGACTTTGGTTGGAAAAAATGCAGCTGTAATGGCAGTAAAAATATTTAATGCACTACCTGATGAAATACGATCTCTGACTGGATATACTTTTAAAACAAAACTACATGCGTGGCTAACTGACGGTACATTTTATACAATTAATGAATATTTTGCACACAAATGACACATTATTTATTATTTTAATTGTACCTATACATTAATTTATTATTGATTATAATATAGAAATAATTTTTATGAGTAATATGAGTAAATATATAATTGATTTACTTTCAAAATATGACATGTAGCTTGTGATGAATTCTTTTATTGTTATTATAAAATTTAAATTGACATTGTGATTCTAATATAAGCATTGATATTGTAAGTGAACATAATATAAATATTTGCACGCTAAATTACAATTAGCAAATTCTGGAGAACAATATATCAGATATGTAAGACCACATGTAATACCCAGTATTATGCAAATAAATTGTTTGAATTTGAATTTGAATACTTATATTATAAATGCGAAAGTTTGTGTGTGTGTTTGTTGTATCTTTCACGCAAAAACTACTGAACAGATCTGGACGAAATCTGTAATAACACATAGGCTACTTTTAATCTTGGGAAAATGTACAGCTCCCGAGGGAATCGTGGGCGAAGCTGCTGGCGGAAGCTAGTTTGCAATAAATCTAATACAAAACTATAATACATATTTGTCTTTAACGTAAAAATTTAATGGTAGGTAGGTACTTCTACTATTTGAGTTGCATTCTTCCATTACGACATTAGTTGTGTATTTTTTTTTTGATAAAACAATTTAGAACAGATAAACTATTAAGCATCAATAGTAGCAAGGAAAGTTTACTTACCTATGCATTTTTATTCCTCGCATTTCGGCGGCAACGAAATTACTATTTGTTAATATATAATGCGCAACTTTTAATCCATCTATTTTAGGTAGATTATCCAATTGTCCTTTTTCGAATCCTTTGTCTATTTTATTAATCGAATAATATTTAATATTATTAGACTATTAACTTAATACACGGGCGAAAACAACAAAATACTGCGCAAGCTATTATATCTACTATAACCGCTGGCGACTTGATACTAAGCGGGGCACGGCGCGTTGTGACATGACGTCACAAGCGGTCACGTGGCTGTTAGCGGGATTCGATATTTTTCGAAACTTTGAATGCATATAAAATCAAAATTACTAGGTATTTTTGACTACAACAAAAACTAGTGTATTTGTATACATAAGGGCTTTATTGAGACAAAATTTCAAGCGATTTGGCATTCCTAGTAACATTCTTCATTCTGACGATTCGGTGCGAAGATGCATTTGTTTTCACGAAAAATAATTATTAAATCTTTTGTTACTTAGATTCCAAGATAATGAGCCAACATTTCCGTATTATCTATCTAGTAACTGAAACTGCAAAGGAAAACCACACATGAGACAATATAGAAAAGTACATTTTCTACATTGACCTCGCACCTCAGCCACTCCGCCATGGAACTCGGCATATTATTCCGTTAGCACACCGCCGCAATCGAAACAAAATTTTTCATCAGAAATCGGGACCCTGAATGCGAAATATGCGCGTTTGACTACGAAACCGTACTGACAAGGACGTAGCTACTTCATCGAGCTAAAAATACGGTGGCGTAACTATACCGTTTGAGGCCCGTGGCAAATTCATCTTATATTCATTTTTTTTACTAATTGTGTAATAATAAACGTCAGGAGTAAGGAGTCTCCTCTGACTGGGAGCCCCTTCCAGCTGGGGGCATTTTGCCGACTTGCCACCCTGTAGTTACGCCACGCGAAACAATGCCATGCAACTGATAATATTTCGCAAAACACTTGCGAATGCGAAATATCTGAGAATTTATACGAATGCCAACAGGGTTGTCTCCTTTTGAGAAACGAAATTCGTGATATTCGAATAGTCATCAGAAATTGGGACAGGTGGTATTCTTGAATGCGATATATGTACGTCTGTGCATGACGTTTTCGCAGTTGATTGCGAAACCATACTGACAAGGACGCGGCCATTTCATCGTATTAGCTCGATGATATAGCGAGATAAATCACATGCGAAATATCGCCATACGCCTGACAAGATTTTGCATTCGCTTGCGTCGGTGTACTAGCGGCGTTAACGTGCATTCAATATAAAAGCTTCAACAATGTGTCCGTTTCAGGAGTTATCCACGTGCAGTGAAGACGAGCGTCGCGCCCGCTACGAAGCTCTGGACGCGGCGGTGGCGGCGTTGAACAGTCGCGCGGTGACGCGTGCGTGGCCGCGGCTGTCCGCGCTGCAACTGCGGCTGGAGCGGCTCGCCTTCGCGGCCGCCGCGCCCCCGCCCCCCGCCGCGCCCCACCCGCCCCCCGCCGCGCCCGCCCTCCTGCCCACCGGCGCGTGACCGATGCCTACTACGTAGTACCCACAGTCAGCTACGGCACGGTCGCCGAACAGAAAGAATTTTGTACTTTGACCTTTCTACCTACTGATAGATATCGTTAACATCTTAAGTTTACCTAATGTGATATTGGCTACTTGCGAGCGCAATAACGATATGTTTGTGCAGAGAGTGAGAAAATGTAGTGCCGGGTCATTGCGAGAAATTCTCTGTTTCGGCGACCGTACTATACCGCGTACCTACCGCAAATGGCTACCTGACAATTATAACAGTAAATTATGAAATGTATTTGACATAGTAACTTCTATTGAAACAATAAAAATGTACAATCTGTGGATTACAAGATCCGAAACGCAGGCGGCCATGATGCATAGTGCGACGTCACATTTCAATAAACTAAACGTCAACATCTTTATTCAGAGTTGATTGCACTCGCAACAAAAACGTTTATGTCACGGGCCTCGCGACTACTAGATCCGTTTGCGAGACAAATTAATTAATGAATAAAAATATGTTCTTCTTTTTTTAATAACACTTTAAGAGCGACACTTGTGTCTAATAATGAATTATCGACCGGCTCGTCTCTCATCAGTTACGCGAATGCTTATGAATCAAGTGTTTGCTGCATGCGTTCGCGTAATTGAAATAAATTTTCAGGCTTTATCTACGATGTTCGGGTAGCGCGAGTGAGTAAGATTATAATAATAATAACAAGTCTGTTTACATTGCCATGAAAAAGAGTATACTATAATTATGTTAAATTCTCTTTAGTCGCCTTGGAAATTACCCTTGAAAGTTATGCAGGTTCATGACTTATACTGAGTAAGGAAATCGTTGAAAATGAATTAAATCTTAATTCAATAAATATTATTATCTTAAACAAAGAAATTGTTCTATAAATAGTAGAATCGATTTTTTCTACGGTGAAATCGTTGATTTCGTCCATTTCGTTCGTTCTTCGATTTAAATACTAAAGCTAATATAGTTAATAAGATAGGTATCGTATTTTATTTACGTTGGTTATTAAAATATAGGTAACTATTAATATAACAGAGTACAAATTTGTCACTCGCGCAGCCACAAATTGCCTTCGCTAAGATTCCATTGCAAGGCCATCGACCTAAATACCGAAATTTGCATAAAAATACTGTTTTGATATTAATTAAAATAGTTATTATAATTAATAACTAAGGTTGATTGTATTCCAGTGATTTAAGGTAATATTTGTAGTATGATGATGCATGCTGATGTCGTATGTGTAAGAAATCACGCCATTTGTTAATAAAATATATACTTAAATGTTAATTTTATGCAATAAATTAAAATAATCTAGCTTATTTGGAATTTAATAAAAATAAGTCACAAATACTTAAATTTTCAAGAAAAATCATGAAAAGAAACTAATAGATGTATTAAGGATAAATAAATAGAATAGGAACATATTTTCTTGAAAATAAAATTGAAATGAAGAAATTGATTCACTTACTATATTATACGTATTTCCTTGTCGTCTGACACTACTGAGCTTTAGCACATTCAATTATCAGCTTTCAGTCCTACATCCGTATAGTGTATTTATAAAATATTATATTAAATGGGCGCGTAGTCGTATTGCTTGTTGATATTATCCGTCCTGGAGATACCATGACAGCTTGCCAGTAGTATTGATAGATATTGTTAAAAAGTATAGGAGGTTCCTTGAAGATATATAAGATAATGGTTTAATAAATTCAGAAATTACATGAATATTATATCGTCGCTTATATAGTAATACAGTGTAAGGTGAACATCAGAAATTTTAGTTAAATTTAATTTGAATTAAATTTCATTTTATTAGTTATTCAAATTTATTGAAACCTTAATATTTCATAATGCAATATGTGTCATCTAGACATGTCAGCCGAGACAAGGTTAGCATTCGCTAATCAACGGCAACGATTGAATTATATTCGACCAATATCGGCTTTATACTAATTAGGTGACAGCTACGTCACGATATTGACGATTTATTAGCGAATGTGGTTGTGAATGTCCTGCTATCGACGGATCTCAACTAGCGTGGAAAGTACAAAATAAATTAGTTGTTTGTCCTTTCCATTGAGTTAAATGGTCTGTAAAAATGTTTACTCTTTTCGCAGTCCAATCTTATTACAAAGAGAATAAGACTAGAAATTGCATACGTTATAATTGCGTAACAATAAAACATTGATTTATTGTGAAACATTCATTCTACATTACATGTAGGTATGAGCTTTTAAAAAAATAATAATAAGCGTATTCTTCATTCCTAATTGCATTTAAAATTCCCTCGATATCTTCATATCAGAGTGCTTTTCCTATGTATCTTTATTTTAATGTAAGCAAATTTATTGGTTATGATTTATAAAAGAACATATATTTCCAGTGCCATTTGTGCATAATGTTATAAGCATTACTTTTTTCGTGTAAACCTCTTTGTTCTTGATTTAGACACACTCTGAAATTCCAAAAGATTTTTTATTACCGCCATTAAAAATAAAAAGAGGCAAATTTTCTTTGAAAAATATATAAAAGAGGCCAGGAAATTTTCAGTTCACAAATTCGGTTTTTCAAATCTAATGCTTTGAATTTTCTGTCAAATGAAAAACGTAAAGTTTGTAACAGACTTGTTCTATCCATTTTCGATAGAAAAGTATCATACTTAATTATAATTTAGAGTGTATCTGAATCGGTTCCAGTATATAAAACTTGTTTCAAAAAAGTATATATTTATTATCTAGTCAACATCTATTTGATCATTGTTTTTGTTTATCGGAGAAAATATTACACTGAGTCAATAAACAAAGAATTATACAAATGTATCGTATCGTGTAGTAAAAATATTGTGGTGATATTGCCACTGAAAAATCTAATATAAGATAAACATTAATGCCAGTTTTGTAATAACTGAAATCACACGAATTATAAGAAATGTTTAACGCGGTAAGCGATGTGTAATGAAATGAGACTGATTCGTATTTACGTTGAATTGTTGATGGTTTTAACGTTGGGAATACTGTGTTGAGATTGTTTGAATATGTATGCAAATTATTAATATAAAATATATCCTGGGGAAGGGGGATTGAACATCTAATATAATTTAGTGAAATGTTTGAGGTAATACAAAACGTTTGTTGTCAATAGCATCGTTTGCTGCGGGTGCTAAAGTCAATTTGAAAAGAATGTATATGTTATACAACACCTGTCAGTCGATTTTCAGAAAGTACTTTTTTGTTACTGGTCAAGTATCGAAAATCATGTGTTGTAAATAATTATGTATGTAAATAAATATTATTGTGAAATATGTTTTCGTTTCCTTTTTTAATTTTAAGAAAATTGGAATAATGTGGTAATCCTCCTACAACTTTATCTTCTAAACTATGCAATCCAGATCCAGTTGTTTCTTAAAAAAGTCAAGTGTTTATGTATGAATTTATAACTTGATATCTTGCAAATATTCACTACGCTAGGGTATCAGGAAGTTGGAATAAATAAGGCAAGAAATCATATAAACAACAAAGTATTTTAACATTCCGACTGCTCCAATCGAGTATTTTAGTTATGAAATACTGGGATATAGAATTTATTCCCATTTAATTAATATCACATAACATTATTCCTTCACTAAAATATGATACATCACATACTGCAAGTATTTATGAGACATTATAAAACAATTTGATAGTGGTCCAAAATGAAACTAATAAATCTTGTTTGAGACATTTATTAGACGTAACCATTTAAAGTAATATAATTTGTATACGCATAACGTTATATTAATAACGTATTGCGTCACGGTTCCATAAGTCATTACGTGTTTGCTCGAGAATAATAACATTTAATTGTACGCCATCATATAGCGTTATAAAAGCACATAAGTTCTTTTACGGTCAACCAATTATAGCATTTGTCACTACCAAAACATAAACGAAAAACCAGGGGCTTGATTGCAATATATAAAAGTCTATCGCAAACCCTTTCAATTGACATTTGAAAGATATTAATGAGTATCACGCTACAACTATTTGACGTGTGAAGCGATTGCAATCACGACGTTTTTTAGAAAGATTTGGAATTAATGATATCGTTAGTTTGACCTTAATTGGAATAGGATTAGTAATTATAAGAAGAAATCTAAAAATATACAATTGAGATAGCATGGCATTAAGCAGTCTGAAAATGTTAGTTGCAGCTCATAGAATTAATTCATTTTTAATATTCAAATCTCTAGTCTTGTGTTTTAATTACGCGAAACAGTAGCCGCCATATGACGTCATTCAGTTTGAAAACACAAGAAAAATAAGTTTTAAGCAAGAACTTTTAGAGTTATTTTTTAATGATATAAAGAAAAGGTAATTTTTAATTAAATAATGCCATGGAATAAGGCTTTGTAAAGGGAAATCGCACAAATTCACCAATGGTAAACACTTCGTCTGAATGTAGTACAAAATATGATAAAAAGTGCATGATAATGTAAGAAACCATTAACAACGAGTTTGTTTACACAAATAAGTTACGTCACAACTACAGAGCAACATGGCGTCCAGCATTTGTAAATGTAAAGTTTAGATCTAATTTTATGACACTTATTGAATAAATAAATGCTTTTTTTTCATGGTTTATCAGGACCTTATGATTGAATTGAGATACTTTTCAAAAGTAGGTCGTAAAAAGTATTATCTAAGGCAAGCGTTACACGCAAATATAACTTTAGATTAGATTGAATTTTTTATTGTCTTTTGCTCATTAAAATCGTAGTTTGTTCCGAAAGCATTGCGACTTTAAACGTTACAGAATTCCAGAAATCTTTTATCACGACGCTACACCTATGAAAGGGATTGCGAGAGAATTTAATTTAAATAACGGGTCACTGGAGCGTCTCAGCGATTACCGGTAATTTGCTTTGGTGGTTAAAAATGACCTGCACTCCGATTAACCAGAAGTTCGAATATAAAAAACGAAAGGAAAGTGAAATGTTTTCGTGT